ACACACGCTTCTCTCCCAGGCACCCCCAGCACCCCTGTGATGGTTAAGATTCCAGATAGTTTAGAAAAACAGTTCACTCAAGATACTTTTTGCTTGGCCAAAGGTCAGTAGCCCATTTAGTCATGTGCTCTCTTGTAAGTACCTGCTGTAAAAGAGATACATGGACTCAGAAATCTCCTGCAGATTTTACTGAGTGCTGGTGCAACTCCCCCAGGGTTTCTGAAAGCATAATGGAGGCTGCTCTGTCTGCTCACAAGCACAGGAAAAAAGAAATATATAATTGGTAACACAAGATTCAATATTATTTCTTGTGTACATCACACTACATTACAGATATTTTTTTTCAAGGGAGAGGTCACTAGAAAATAGGCTAGGACTCTTAAAAAAAATGTGCATTTTATTCTTTTTTGCAAAGCATTTTGGAAGTGGAGCACTAGTTTTGCCAAAAGCAATTGCTGTGCATTAATATTAAACATGATCTAATGAAGGCAGAAGTCGTTTTGGGAAAACATTAAGAACAGCACAAGCATCTCCTGAATTATAAGTTTATGGCTGAGAGAAACAGTACAATGAAAATATAGGCATTTCTCCTGTCGAGCTTTTGTTCCATGACCTGGAAAAATAAAGGACAGGGAAGAGGGGAAAATCAACAGTCCCTCATGGAAAAAGTATACTTCAACACTCCCCACCCCCAAAAAAACCCACAAACCAAAACTGTAAAACCAAGCCGAGCAAGCAGTCTTCACTGTAATTAACAGGAGAGCCACAAAGCTGGAATAAAATTGGGAGCGGGGGGGGCATTGCCTCCAAGAAAACTGTTTCCACACATAATACCTAAAGTATCAGTCCAAACAAGTGCAGCATTTGGTGCAGTTCAAAATGCTCCTTTCTTTCTGGCATATATGTTAAGGATGCAGCAATTAGGGAATGTGAATCATCAAGACAGAACAAAAAAAAAAAAAAAAAAAAAAGGAAAATTGGCATAATTCCCACAGCCCTTAAAAGGGCATTTCTTAACATTTGTCTGCGTGGCTACCATAACAAACTAATCTCTACTGAAAGTCAGACTGCCCCAACAGGGCATAAAAAGATCTCAACTATGCAGCTTAGAACTAGCAAAAGCAGATTCATGTTAAAAAGAAAAAAAAAAATTGCTGATGCTTTTGCTATAAATCTGTCTCTATTTACATGTTGCAGTCTGCACCTTGTGGCATCCTTCAAGGCCTTATACAAATAAACATAAGGAGGCATTTTTGAGAGTGCACTGACCCAAGGTACCTGACAGTGAGTGCCTGGAATCACATCCTTGCCAGCTGGCTGCAACAGAAAATGTAATGACTCAGCAGTTTAATGGATCTTGAGTTTGGCAACAGTCCCCTTCTAAACATCTCTAGGGAAATAAGATAATACAGGCCCAAGACTCTGGCAGGTTCTGTAATTGTTTGCTTCTGGCACAAATCCAGGGACAGCACAAGCTCTAACTTAAGGCAAATATGGCTGTACAACACTCTGACTCTCCAAGCAGGCTCTATTCAAAGCCCAAGGGTAGAATTAACTTATGGCATGTCTGACGAGGAGACAAAGATACCAGGAAAGCATTCAGCTGAAAAAAAAGTCCTTAAATATTAAACTGCCTAAATCAATAATGCTCAGTTTCCCAGGAAAAGTCTTTTCTCTTGACTTTTTTTTTTTTTTTAAACACAGAAGAAGCAGGTGAAGTTTGTCCGAAGTTGAAATATGGCACATTATAAAAATCTGCTTTTGTTATTAAACTTTTAAAAAATTGCTAACAGACTGTGAGAAAAAAGAAGTTTGAAAAAGAGGCAACAAATGAATTTGTCACAGCCACTATGTGCTAGTTATTAAAACATGAGATATTTGTATTATCTTACAAGTCTTCTGGCAGAATACTCACTGGAAAGCCAGAAAATGAAAGATGAGTTCCCAGCTCAGAGACTCAGATGTTACGATCTCTCAGCTGTTTTAAGAAAACAAAATCTTAAGTCTTAGCACTTTGACTTCTACTTTGGCCTTCTGTTCTGAACTTCCTCTGAAATTTATACATACTAACAACTTACAGATTTACACTGGAAGCAACATAACAGTGGGAAAAACCCAGTGGGACCTTTTTATTGGCTTTACGCCGGTAGAGTGCCAGAAGAGAGAGGGGTCATCCTGGGAGCCTTTACATGTGTATTGACTGCTGGTGAGAATGAAGCAGCCACCCCGCTTCTTCCAGACCACGATATGCGGACGGTCCCTTTTTCTCCCATGCTCACCGGTGAGATGAATTTCAAAAACTATACTTTATGGGCAAGGACTTTGACAAAAGGCCATAATATATACAGAGAAACACAAAAGCTTGACTTGGGTAGGTTGTATTTCATCTTTTATTTTCAGACTGCTTGTAGTTTGATCTTCCATCTACATACATTTATATCTAAGATATTTTTTTTTATCTTATCAAAACCAGTAATGGGATTCACTGACTCTTCTGAATTCGCAATTGAAGGTTCTCAAGTACCGAAAACCTTTTCTATTTTAAAAGACCCACAAGAGGACTCACTGTATTGCTTAGCCTTATATATGTACAAAGAGCATCGCTGGGCGAAGCAGAAAAGCATCAAGTCACAAGTGCAGCTGTGTTTTGTTGTTTAGGCTTTGCCAATCACCTCTCATACCATGAATGAGAAGGTATGAAGGGACTCCCATATCCACTAACTTCCTCAAACATGTGCTACCATGCACAATAATTAAAATGAAGTTACTAATTTGTAAAAAAATTTTAGCTACCATCTCCCTCAAAACTGAAAGTGCTGTCTCTAATGCAAACACTTTGAATATTTCTCTAATAAAAGCACTTTCTTTTAATTTGGATACAGACTGGAGAGCCAAAACACACAGGCACTTACAACCATGTGTAGTACTTGAAAGCATTCTTGTTCATTATTCAGAGCACTGTCTCCTGACTCCACCACCAAACAGGTATCCTGAGAGATCACCAAAAGCCTTTTTTGGTTCTGCCTCCAAAATCAATTACGCTTGGTCATTTGCCTAGATGCCTGGATAGCTACTCAACCGAAATCTGGAGCTTACAAAAATGTTTCATGGCAGGTTTACTAGAGCTTATTAGCATGGAAAGATACTAAAAGAGCACACTAAATGCTGTGTCACTGTTAATGCTTCTTCTAGGAAAACATAAACAAAATAAAAATTACCTTTTGTAATTTCTCATAACATGCTCATTACATTTGTTATCACAGTGATGAGTACAATGACAAGCCAAGACTCCTGTAGCTTCTGAAATCTAATGTAGGCAAGTTTTCATAATCCTCATTAAACACGCCTACATTAATTTCTTAAAAAGGCATTTTGCAGTTCCAACTGAAGAATTCTGCTGCAACAAATAAACTAAGGATACACTTTATGAAGACAGAAATGAAAATACTCTTGACTTTTGAAGCCCGTCATGGTTTCGGCTGAGGACGGAGTCGACTTTTTTACTGGTAGCTGGTGCGGTGCTGTGTTTTGGATTTGGGATGAGAATGATGTTGATAATGCACTAATGTTTTTGGTTGTAGCTCAACAGTCAAGGCCATTTCTGCTCCTCACACCACCCTGCCAGTGAGCAGGCTGGGGGTGCACAAAAAGCTGGGAGGAGACACAGCCGGGACAGCTGAACCCAACTGACCAAAGGGATATTCCATATCATGTAACAACATGCTCAGTATGTAAAGCTGGGGGAAGCAGAAGGAAGGGGAGGATGTCCAGTGTGATGGCACTTGCCTTCCCAACTAACCGTTATGTGTGATGGAGCCCTGCTTTCCTGGGGATGGCTGAACACCTGCCTGCCCATGGGAAGCTGGCAATGAATTTTTTGTTTGTTTGCTTGCACGCGCAGCTTTTGCTTTACCTATTAAACTATCTTACTCTCAACCCATGAGTTTTCTCAGTTTTACTCTTCTGATTCTCTCCTCCATCCCACCACGGGGAGAGTGAGCGAGCAGCTGTGTGCTCCTTGCTGCCGTGTGGGGTTAAACCACGACAAAGCCCCATCCTTTGAGCTCTACTGGGCATACCATACAAAAGAAAAGGGGCGTGCAATGAAGACTTGATTACAGCGTTTTTAAACACAAAAAGTTTCGCATCACGCCGTTAAAACATCATTCTATAAAAAGGTACCACCATCAGGAGAAGCTTTAACGTGTAAATATTAGATTCCAATCCATACTGTTGTCCACAGGCAGGCAGAGCCAAACTGGCAGCACTGCACAGCCCCTCGAATCGACGAACTGCACAGCTTTTCCAGCTACCCAGCTGGTGTGTCGACAGCTCCATTTAATATTCTTGTCTAGTGATACAGCAAAGACCTCTCATGCCTATTTTTAAATGCACATTTTTAATATTCAATATAATGTTACTCTTTAACAAACTCTTTACTCCCTGCTTCTTTTATGAAGCTTCCCGTGGTCTTTAAAGGGATTGTTAACCAAAGAATGGATCACACTCTTTTTTTAGAAACACTCCATTAAACCTTTCAGTATTTAAAATGAAGAGTAATCTCTCACCTCTGAGGAGATAAGCCAGTTGCTGAGTGATTAACTCTGGTGCCTCTTGAAGAATTTCTTTTACTACTAAAGAGGAAGAAGACGCTTGTAACTCCAGGCTGCCGTCACATTGCTCATCTGGATTGATGACTTTGACAACAGCTGATTCCAAACTTTTATCCTCACTATCAAGCAAATTTAAAAATTATATATATTTTTCTTTCTAGCTGCTTAGACAACCCAGTAAAACAATGCAAAAAAAAATTTAAAATTCTGGACTATTACACTATTGTTATTGCTACTTGAAGTCTGCTATAAAGCCAAAGAAAGTCATAATGAAGTCCTAAAATTGTAATTTTTTAAATGAAGTGTTCAGAGTAGTTTTATTGCTTGATACATCACTAACTACTAAGACTTAAATGTTTACATTTCCATTATCAAAATCTTTATAATTAATAATTTGAAAAAATATTTCTACACGTACTGAAAATATCACTCTTTATACGGGGGACATCTTGGATTTCCCCCATTGAATATTTTGAAAATTTACAAAAGTTCTTCTTTTTTTTTGTTTTGCATTTAGACACTTTAAGTTTCTGTTTATAATAGCAATAACAAAGCCAAACTATATAACTATATTTAATAATATAAAATGTTAATCATAATTTTTTAGAAAGAAGAAACACAGGAAGGGGTAAACAAAAAGCAAATCTTATTGATAATTTTACTTTGAAAAAGTGAATGATGTACTGATCTGACTGCAGTTAAAGAATCAATAGTTATGAGATTTATGCATATGTCTCATTTTAGATTTTCCCTATTTTTATTCTAATCCGCAAACCCCTCAGAGTCAGATGGGGCCATAGCACAACACGATGTTACTTATCTTAAATGAAGTTCTAAAGAGAGTTGGAAGTAAACATCATCCTTGATTCTGGGCAAGACAAGCAGACCATTATAAAGAGGCTCCCTATAAAAAATTCACTATAGGCTTGTAAATATTCCCTCTTAAGGATGGGTATATGGACTGCAGTCTTCCACAGAGCAACTCTGAGCCTCTGGCACTGAGAACATTTGGAGAAAAATGCTGTCGTTTTTAAGGACTGCAATAATCTAACAGCCATCTTAAAAGCACATATGCAAGTGTGCTGGCCATCTCCCAATCAATGTAAGAGCCTTAATGCCTTTAGCAAAAGCAAACTAAGAAGCAGGAAAAAAATCTCATCTTTTTACTGGTCACAGGAAAAATAGTCCAAACTATTTAAACTAAATTAAAATATCCAATCTAAGCTGGGTGAAAATACAAGGTCCTTAAAAAAGGGAGTTCCATTAAAAGTAGAGAAAGATGACTATTTAGTTTGTTATATTTAATGGACATAATGGGAGACAAAATATATTTTAACTTACTTATTTTTTTGTCTGTGTGAACATAGCAATACCAGTATTAATGCAGAAAAAATGTAAAATATAATTTTTGAAACAGCTCAAACCCGCATAAGCCATCTTGTTGTACATACAATGCAATACCTTGTCAGCATGTTGCTGTTTACAAGTGTTAAAGACAATTTCCCTTCAGCATTCAGCTGGTGCAAATTGATTTCATCTCGGAAGATATGGAATGACTCCGGGATATTCAGCTCCTCCAATATAAATCTTGTCTCTGTGAGGTAGCTAAATTCTCTTCTTGGTATGTTCAACACGGGTAAGCACAGAACATCAGGAGGACTGACCTGTAACATAGATGTACGTTTGTCAGAGTGGCATAAAATATTTTTTTTTATTAGGAAGATGTTTTAACAGAGTGAGCAACTAGAAACAGTCTGAAATTTCTGTTTGTTTTTTTCCCCTTTTACTTCATTTTTAAAAAAAAACACCTTTTGCCTTTTTTTCTTGTTCTTCGGTCTCTGCCTCCTACAGAATCACTGGGAAACGAGGAAGGAGAGAGGAGAAAGAATCATGTACAGGGGTGATTCTTTTACTGCTATTGAATAAGCCAGCTCATACCCACTCATTAATTTTTGTGTAAAAAGAAACATAGATTGTTTCTATTCAAAAACCTCACATCTGATTATAACAAAATCCAGAATAATGTCCCGAATAATGTTTTCACAGTATGTTTTAACTGACTTAGCAGTAAGATGTCTGTAACAACCTGGAACAAATGAATTAAGACCACTTGGTCCATTTTTCCCCTACCTTGTCAAGAAAGTAGGCATAGGCCAGAGTAGAAATGAGTGAATCCAAATCACAGGATTTATTCCCGAGAACGACATGGACTTTCTCCAGGCGTTTGCTCCTGTTCTGTAACACATTAGAAGACAATTGCAGTGAGTGACAACGGTGAGAAAAAACATCACTATGACACTTCAAAAGACAAGTTAAATATGGGGCATTGCCCTCAGTCGTAGTGCTCTTCACCACTGGCTGAAGGAATGCACTTACTGTGGGATCAGACATGTTTCCTTGGCTTCACAGCTCCCAAGCAAGCCAAAAAATCTGGGTTTCATGAAAGACCCCAATTTAGAACCCAGACGAGATCTAAACTGACAGCCCTTAGCAGCAAAGTAATAGATAAGCAGCTTCACGTATATGTGGAAAAAGCTTTTGAAAACACTTCACAAATCTAATAAGAAAAGCAGTCCCAAAGAGTGTGGAAATACTCGCAGCAAACTGTACAGCAAGCTGTAATTTTAGTTTTCCCTTTTTTCTTCTCTCGGCTGAAATCAGTAACAAGACAAAGTAAGTGGCTTTCACTCTGACTCCTCAGAAGCTGAGCACGCCTGGTGAAACACTGAGAGCTTTCAGTTGTTCTCACTTGCAAAGGGAACTAAGTCTGTTCTGCATTTAATAAAATTAGAAGCCTTCCAAACACGAAGAAAAGATAGACCAACTGTGTGAAAGCAAAATATTGCAGGGAAGTGTCTACCTTCTTCATAATTGCACACACAAAACGTAAGGTGATATTTTTCTCTCGTGCACGTCATTAACGTCAAGCTAGCTGCATAGAAACATTGCAGTTTATTTTATTCTAATGAGCTACACTTAATTTAAGAAACATACTCAACTGACGCCAAGTAGATATTACAGAACCAAATATATGCAATTGAACATTTTTGTTGTTGTCAGAATCAGGCTGATGTACTTTTTGTTAATTTTAAATAGGATTCTGGATATAAAATAAAATTTTAATCTTTCAAAAGAAGTATATATTTAGCATACTATCCTCAATAATTATAAATGGGCAATTTTTTTAAACCAACCCTTTTTTCTCTGTGTCTAATCTTACCTCTATCTGGATATAAGGAAGAAACTTAGTTCTCTGTCCCTTAAATAGAACACAGCCATCAAAATACCTTTGGGTAATAAAACCAGGACACCTATTCTCCATTCCCTGTGTATTGGGAAAGACAGACAGCTTTCTGAAGAATACAGTGTCTGGAACACGGTATGTTCATTTAAGCTCTAGGCCTTCACCAGCAAGGAACTGTCTTCATTTTCCTCTTTTCAATATATTTTTGTCACATTGTTCTTCTGTAGCATACATTTCAGATTGATCAGCCACCCTAAAGAATTAAAGTTCATGAGCTGATCCTTTTTTAGTATTAATCAGTCTATAGAAGTCTTTTTCTTTGGGTACATTGTAACTGCATAGCAAATGACTCAACCCTGAAAAAGATGGAACCTGAATAAACTGATAAATTTATTATTAAATCTACAAACTCACCCACCTCTAGGAATCTAGTGCAAACAATAAAAAAAATTTCAAGCCATCTGATGGCCTGTATCTACATATTCTATAACAATTTGCTTCCTCTTGCTCATATTCCACAAAACACTATCCCATATAGAACTAGCAAGGATCCTCAAAAGTGATCTGAGTTTCAGTGATGAATGACAGACTTATTCATGTCATCAGGTACACAAGTGTTCTCTTTTGAAAAATTAACACATTTTTTGTGTTGTCTTTAGAAATCAAGTTTCTGAACCCTACACTTGACTTCTGAAGAAATGAGAAAAGCACGGCTATAAAGAGCAGAATGCAAAGAGAACATGGTGCGGAGCAAGAAAGCTCTAGAGACCACCTCATCATAATCCAAACAGGTCAGCTAGCCATCCAAGCTCTGATTTCTTAACTCCAGCACGCCATACCTTCATCAACACATATGAACCAGAACAGACTATGGAAGGAGAGGCCGTCTTCCTGGACTGTTCTCAAAAGCTTATCAAGAAACCTGAGATGGAGCTTATTAAGCCAAGTTTTTAATACAACAGTAAGCAGACTAACAGGGAAAGGGTGTATTTCTTGGTCAGGCTGTAAACATACCATCCCTCCAACAACTGCCAGTTTCTTCCGGACTATTTCTGCCTACGACAAACACACAGTCGAGGTAACCTACCACGTACTGCCAACGCTTTCCCAAAGGAAAGGGAACGGAAAATAATTTTCTTAAGGTATTCAGGGGTTTCTGTTGCATGCTGCCTTTTCTCCGGTCACTCCAGAGAGGATATATATTTTTTTCATCCACTACAATTGGTTATTTTAATGATTCTGTCTCTCCCAGAGTAAGAATCTGCTCATGTGCACACAACGACCCTATTTCATGCCCTAATCTCTCATCCATGACTTTAAGCGAGGTGCTTTTGAAATAGGCTTTTTCTCATAAAATATGACAGCTCTTCAACTAATGTTAAAATACAAAGTAAACCTGCAAGCTGTCTTAATAAGTAATTAAAGCTTCTAGTTAACAGATTTCAGGGCAAAAATTGGCCAGAACAAACAGCAAAGAAAGTCTGTGCTTTGCATCCTGATGATGTTAAGACACACTGACAAGAGAAGTGATAGTCCACATCTTGTTTCACCAGCCTGAAGAATTTTCTTTATTTAAAAAAAGCGAAAGGCTTCCACTACCAGATCATGTATTACCAAACTAATTTTTATGAAAAAAATAAATTTAATTAATAACGCTGTAGAATATGTTTGGACAGTTAATTCTTCCTGTAGTTCTGGAAATTCATAATGGGAACAAAACATAACAAAAACAACCTAAAATGTCACTCAATTATTACTAGAAAGCACAAGATGTTTTGCTACTATTTTCCTAAATGAAACCCTCCATTTTCTGAATAAATATTCTTATCGGCATAAGCAATCCGTTCTCCCAAAGACAAGTTGGATTTGATGATCCTTATGGGTCCCTTCCAACTCAACATTATTCTATGATACACATCTAGAAAACAGCACAAATTTGGTACAGATAAAATAGATCAGGCTGGCAGACAACCAGCAACAGTTAAAAACCCCATCCTAGTATTTGCATTCACGTAGTATGCGCTGTCCCATTAGAGGCAAAGTCAACAGGAGGATTAGAAGCAGCAACTCCCCTAAGCACACAGATGTAACTCCAAACTATCCTTCCAGAGCTACGGTCCGAGAGCTGCCACGTGCAAAACTGACCAGCTTAGGACATCTACAGGGAAGCACATAAAGAGATACAATGCTATCCCTGACACAGCTCGGTACATTAATACTGAATTATTTACCTTCCCATTCCCCAGTAATAACCGCCAAAATAATTCAGTGACACATAAAGATCACACTTACATAACCTATTCACATGGACAACATTTCCTACTCCAAGCATCTTTATTGCTTGAACTGGCTATTTCGCTGACGCGAGAATCACAGGAAAAGTACTAATATTTTAATAGATTACTCAATACAGCTATGTAGCATCTCCCCCACTCTATTTTAACACAGGAAATGTTCTTGTACCGACACTACTGATATTTTATCAAAAGCTTAGCGATGACCACAGTGTTACACAAGTGAGTTATGCAGTGAAATGGAACACTACTGCAAACATTCATCTTAGCACAAATGGGTGACACCTACCAATTCTACCATAGGACTATCAAAGCAACATTTTTAACCTTCAATCTGATTTGCAGCACCTTAGAAGTTGTAGAAGTCAGTACTTTCAGCATGACAACTCTTCCGCAGATAAACATTACTGGCAAAAAACCACCACCATCCATGCATAAAAATCACGAGATCCTCATTCAGAGACAACCAGGTTTTGTAGTTTATAACCACAATGTTACTTACTACAACTTTTAAAGCAATCAAAAGCCAGCAAGAAGGAAGGTAGATAAATTTAAAGTTAAGAGGAATAATTGGATAAATTATTACAAATCTATTTTCATATTGATTAAAATGATATTTTAAGATCAAATGAACCCTCAAAACAACCTTTGTTTTTGTCTTCCAGGGCTTAAATCCAAACTTATCTACAGTCATATAAACAGAACGCTGCACAAAATAAGCATTCCCTGTAACATGCTGCCTTTTGTGCATATTTGGAACAACCCCCTCAAACGCCATCCCTCTCAATTCTCACATCAGATAATAGTTGTCAAAGAGCATATAAAAGAAATGGCATTCTCTAGCTCACATGACACCTTCAGCTCTGACAGACTGGTGTGGAAAGTTTCCTCTGTTAAGTTGGTACCACCTCTTCCGAAGCTGGGGGAATTGTCTCCTCAGCTTCTATGGCTGCTCCTTGTTCAGAAACTAACATGAAACCAGCATGAGCTACTGTCTGTTGTTGTGACTTGATTTCTTATCTATTTTTTCTAGAAGATCACGGCACAAGGTAGACCTTCCACTGACAGTCCTCAACGTGCTGTCTTAAGGATCAGTGATATCCTTTTTTCACCTTTCCTCATCTCTGCTTTTCTATTCACCAAGCATATTTTTATTCTCTTCTCTTTCCCCTTTTGCAGGTCCAGGATATATGATTTCACCAGCATCTCCTCTCCCCACGCGTGGCTCCCTGAATAGCTTTTTAGTATCTTACTACTACTTATTAATAATAACCTTCAAAAAATTATACTCTCCATAAAAGCAACCCTGACGTATGCCCTCTCGGGGCTACCCAAGCTTACTGTTTATCTTACAGGTCTGAGATTGCTTCCTCTTCCGTCATCTCAGATACAGCTAGTCTACTGCTGGCTAACCAGCCAGCTGGAGAAAAGCAGGCCCATGGATGTGAGGCTTCCTCCTCCAGATCTTTCCAAGCACAGACCCCAGCAGAGAAGCCCACAAAGCTTTAGATGCACGAATTCTGTGAGACCTAGCTGCAATAGGACTAAAATGTGATTAATTCCAGCAGCTACCACAGCTCAACCTGAGAGCCATCATGAACCCTCATTAGCTCTCAGAATTAAAAAATTCAAGAGGTTGATGATGAAACTGGAACTCATAAATTAAACTACATAAGAGACCACTGATCTGACTTAGTGCTGATGGGTTGTTCAGCTAGATTAAAGGTAAATTGTAAAATGCATGAACACTGGATGCCTGGGATAAAATGGATTAAAGAAATGATGTGTCATTCACAGATGGCATCAGTCAGGATAACTCAATTCAGCCCAGACCTGCAGAGATCAACATTCACTTATCATGCTCAAAAAAGAGATTTACAAACATTAAGCTACCTCTGCAATCCAGCAAGAGGTCTCTTCTGATACTCTGATACTTACAGAGAAGAAGCTCTCGTATCTGCCCATTTTTATTGTCTTTATTCACATAAAAGCATTAGTATGGCAACTTTATCTTTACACAACTGTGGTCAAAAATACTTTTTATAGGTTCTTAAATGCATCAAACAGCTGATTCATTCAAACATATGGCATATACTGACAATCAGATTTGCAGAAACTTTGGCTATGACATACTACTACAATGACAGTCAAAAATCACGTTGTCTCTTCTTTTTTTCTTCTGTTAATTTAGAAGCTGAAATAATACTGCAAGATAAATACTGAAGACTTTTTCTAGTATAAACAGGAACCCCTACAAAACTTTCACTGTCTCAAGGCAGAAATTTTTGTTCTTTTCCCTCTGCTTCATACACACGCACACAACCCACGCAGCCACACACAGCCTTGCTTTCTAAGCCACTGTTTTCTTTTTGCCTTGAATCTCACTGGATCTTCTGTCCTTCAACTGCAATGAAATCACTGCATTTTGTTGCATGGGATGAGACAGTGCTTGTCAACGATAGCAATTCTTTGAAGGAAGAAGCTATAAGGCTCAACAGAAGCATACTAATAAAGAAGAAGCTGCAGAGTCACATAATCTGACACTGTCCAGTGTCACATGCAACGCTGAAAGCTTTTCCAACCTTGTGGCTGAAGCACTAACAAGGGAGCATGGCTACACAGACATACTTAGCTTTCCTGGAAAAAGGAAAGCTTTCCTTTCCCATGGGGAAAAAGCCTAACTACCTGGACCAAGGACAAGATAGTAAATATGGCAACTGAGATTTTAAGTTATTTACTTACATAAGAGAGGATTATTGTACCTACTCAGTAGCTTTGGAAATGTACCTCCAACCCAGAGGTAGAATTTATTGAGTAGTCATTTTGGAGTACATCCTGCATCTGCCTTACAGTACCAGGCAACATTATGCTTCCGTAGGCCTGAGGGCTTTTAAGTTGATTATCCTTCTCTGTTGTCAGAGAAATGGCTTTAAGCCAAAGCAAAGTTAATTTAATATTTTATGCAAAGTTCAAGTTAGTTTAATATTTCATAAGTCCTTTCACAAGAAAGCTCTCTACTGGCCTGGAAAAAAAAGATGGTCTCTTCTCCTGATAAGTCTTTGTTTTCTCCTATTTTTGAGGACAGACAAAAGTCTATTATATCTCTCTGCCCCTAAAATATCACATTTATCATGTACAGTATATAACATACATTGTAGTTTACTGTAGTAGTTTTAAAATACGTGGTTACAAAGTGGATTCTTCCCTAAGGAACACAATTTATTAGAGAAAATTTCAAGCATGCCATATTTTAATCACTACCTGTTGGATCTATATTGTACCATGTTGCTTTACTTAAGGATCTAAACCCAAAAGCTTTTACAGCAAACATCAATCCCACTAGCAGAATAAAATATAATAAAACAAACGGGCAATTTTCTAAATCCACACCATCTACATTTGTATTGGAGACACAGCCTTACAAAAAAGATAAACAAAAGTGGAGAGGTCATAAAAATTCAATGCCACCCTCAGAAATGGTTGGATAAGCATAAAATACTGCCTGATGTTTTGTGTTGAACGACATCTGATGACAAGACTGTGACTAGTCTGTAACAAAGACTAGGAAAAGGCCTCTGCACCTTAGTTGCGATGCGTATAGAACTTCCCTGGGGCCTAACTGATACACCCATTTTACCCCGTCTTATCTGCACTCTCCTCTCTGATGATGACTCCACTTCCAACAGGAGGTTGGAACACAGCCTTCATAAACAAGAATTATTGATCTTCAGAGGTTAACACTTTAAAAGCCACACTGAAGAG